ATCAAATAGGCATTTGCAACCACCAAGTATTTAATATAAAATAAGAAACATAGCCTATTAGAATTAAATTCTCCTAGCAATGCCGTTGGTCCAACCTTCTAACGACTCCACTTGCTCCAACTCTATTCTTCCCCTAAACAGGTATCCTCCCACCTTCTCCATATGTCTTCACTTCTACACTTACCCCTCGTGTGGTCACACGCCCACCTCAACAATTTTATTCCCCATATTCATGTGTATGCCTTTTTTCCATTCAACATTTTGCATTGCTAATCATAGATCATTCTATAGGACTCACCTTTCAATTCCAAAGTTCCAACGACGATTTTTTATCACATAAGACTACAACGGTCTGTCATTTTAACCATGTTTTTCTTAGCCATTCCTCATCAATCTCTCCATTATTCATCTAAAAATTATCCCAATTGACAAAAATGTCATTCCTGAATACTTCATCCCTGGATGTGCTTACCTCATTCTGCCTCTCTATTAAATTAACAAACAGCCAACAAAATGAATAAGTAAATTGCAGCTACCATGACATAGTCGAGTTTATAGTGACTTCTATGTTGGTTCCGAGAAGGATTCTACAAGAGTTATTTCACTTAATTTCATTTAATTGTAAAAGAAATTACAAGTGTGGTAATAAAAATTACATTCACTGAGAAATATTAAAGCTGATGAGTTAAAAGTATAAAACCTATCAATCAAGATCATTAAAGGGAATGTAGTCAAGGATATCTTCTCCTTGGTTCTTTCTTTTCATTATCTCTTTCCTGATCTTGATGTCCATCATCTCGCTATCTAAATCTTCATTCAGCCAAGTGCAAAGATATTCCAGATGTTCCATAGGGCAGAGATGGAGTTCTGAGACTCGTTGAAACCTATATTCATCATCATAGTCAATGAACATAATTCCATATTCAGGTTTCACGTGTACTGAGTTGGGAGCGTAAGGACCCTTCTCAGGTAAGTGATAGGTTCATGGAGATGTCTGGTCTCTTCATGTTCTTGAAGAGTTCATCCACTAAAACCTTGCTTTCATGCTCGTTCTTATGGGATGGTCCCTCTGCAGCAGTATCTGGAATCTCCAGATCTTCCTCGTCTTCTTCGTCCTCACCTTCCTCACCTTCAGGTTCCGGAAGTTCATGTTAGGACTGA